TTATGATAACGTGGGCGAAGAAGGTGCGAGAGTCTGGTGTTCGTTGCAACACAAATCGTATTTTTTTCAATATTATTTATTTTTTTTTTTTTTTAGAAAGAGAGGGGGATGGGGGGGGGGGGGGACGATAATTATTAAACTGCTTTGCAACATAGCGAAAATGTGCTTTTGATTTGCGAATCTGGGCAATCTAATAATTGGCTGGCGACTGTAATTCTCATCGAAGATCAAACAAGACAAAAGTTGGTTAATTAAAATTAGCTCGGAATTAAAGCGTATTTTTCAAACATTATTCCCTTGAAATGCACAATCTAATATTTTACATATATTTATAAGATTATCAAAATTTGATGGTATTTAGCTATAAATTTGTATTATTACATCGCGTTATCTTGAATATATGTCAAAGTAAAAAAAGTGATAACATGACTAGTGAATTAAAGTTTATTTAATTTTTTTTTGTTTTTTTTTTGTTTTTGTTTTTGAGTTCTGTTTTTTGTTTTTTGTTTTATTTTACAAGCTCTAGTAATGTCAATTGTTGTTATCTCGATCATTTTTTAATTTAAATGTCTGGAAAAACTAATTAGTCTGATAAAATCACTATCTATTGCTAACAATTATCTTATACATAAAGTGAATATGAATATTTTAAAGATGTGAAAGAATTTATATTATGATTTATGAGACATATTAACACCATTATGAATCACAATTTAATAGTAATAGTAATTGTTAAGCAAAATCTTTGTTTCTCGCGGAGAAAAACACAGTTAAGATCGTTACAGTTGTAAATGAACTGTCAATTTGATGTGATATTATCATTTGATAAGCCAATGACTAACGAATGATCTATTTTCAAATCAAGTGCTTTCTTTTAGTAGCAATTAGATTTTTTTTGGATGCATTATGCATTCTCTTAAACGGGCATTTCATCTAACGATGAAAAATGTAGCGTCAATAATAATTAATATTGCAGTCGCTATTTGAATTTGAAAGAAACATAAACAATTCGTGTAAGCGTTGATTAGGAATCTGCTATTAACCCACATAAGTCATATAACGAAAACAATTGTGTGCAGTGTAATGATATGATTGTATTGTCGATTTTTAGAATAATGATACAAGATTTGTGAAATTTTTAAAATGTAAGAGAAAGTAAGTTTGCATTTGCATATTATTTACCATACGCGCGAGTGGTGATTATCTACTTTCATCAACACCCTATCACTATTTTTCTATTATCATGCATGTTTATCGAAACGGCATTCCCCCCCCCCCCACAATTACGAGTTGTAGAAGTTTGGAAAGTTAATAAAGTTATTATAATTTTTTCTTAATACGTCCATAAATTATCCATATGAATGTATTTTTTAAAAATATTACATTCGTACTTTGGCTCTCGAGTAGATGGTGAATAGGCGATTACGATCAATTCATGCCACTTTTGTTTTTCATTTATTCATCAATTTAGGGGGTTGAAGATCTCATAAGCTTCATCAGCTAATTATATTATAAACATACTTCATAAGAATACTATGAAAAAATTTACGCTAATTTTTATAAAAACGCTAGTCTCGGAATGC